TGCGGACGTGCTTGCGTGCGTGCGTGCATGCGTGTGTTTTGTTAAAAATTACAGCGGACCCAACATTGACAAACTTTTTCGTGTGTTCTCGACAAATCTGGGGACAGTTTGGCTTCTTCTCGTTGTTTATCTAAAATGGTACCAAAGCTCATGATACAAAGAGGACAAAATTCCCATATCGCATGGCCTGGTAAAAGACTTATTTCTCAACGTTGATTTCATCATTTCATGTACATAATATATATATATATATAATATATATATATATATTATATATCTGTGGTGTGTGTGTGTGTGTGTGTGTGGTGTGTGTGTGTGTGTGTGTGTGTGTGTGTGTGATGTGTGTGTGTGTGTGTGTGTGTGTGCGTGGTGTGTGTGCGTGTGCGTGTTGAGCGTGCGCGTGTGTGTGTGTTTGTGTGTGTGTGTGTGTGTTGTGTGTGTGTGTGTGTGTGTGTGTGTGTGTGTGTGTGTTGTGTGCTTGTGTGTGTGGCGTGTGCGTGTTTGAGCGTGCGCGTGTGTGTGCTTGCGCGCGCGTGTGTGTGTGTGTGTGTGTGCGCTTGCGCGTGTGTGTGTATGTGTGTGCGCTTGCGCGCGTGTGTGTGTGTGTGTGTGTGTGTGTGCGTGCGTGCGTGCGTGCGTGCGTGCGTGCGTGCGTGCGTGCGTGCGTGCGGGCGTGCGTGCGCGCGAGCGCGTGTGTGTGGGGGGGGGGGCGTATATCAGAAACCGAAACCGAAACCGTGCGTGGGATGTACACAGCAGCATTCCAGCATCCGTCTGATCAATTGTTCACGGCCACCAAGTCCTGGACCTTCCGAGATCCCTGGTAGCCAAGCCGCAGCCCCAAACACCCCCCCGGTGCAGTGCCCCGACGAATCGCTGAAACGATAGCCCAGAGAAGCTCCATAGCTGAAGGTGGTTCTTTTCGCTTCTCTTTTATGGCTCGCCCCATCGGCTGCAGACGGAAAGGAGTGCTTGAGGTAAGGAAGGTGTATTGAGGTCGGGCACATGCCTCTGCAGTGACGTCAGAAATATGGACACCACGTGTGCGCAGGCGCGCGCCCAACTTCCCTTGCCGCAGTATGATGGATGACCCTACGGAATTCGCAAATTAGCCTGAAAGCAATGCCATGGATTTCACCGTGGCTAAAATCCTACACCTCCCGACTCATAGACAACTCTCCTCAAGAGTCCGGCACGCGAGGACTTTGGACTTTGTATCTCGTGCAAACTGTGAGGACACCAGCCTTCCTGCCTTTGCTAGCGTATGTGAACTATACGGAAACTCTATGCAACTGTGACAGCTGGCTAAATTTGGGTTAAAGTGATCTGACGATAGGTTGGGAGAAGATTGGCCGGTTTACTCATCTTAATATTTAATCATTCATGTTCGCTGCTTGTGCTTTATTAATTATCATCACGTTGTATTATTTCATTGAGTCGGTCTACTTTTTTCTTAGTTATTTTTTTATTTACTTGTATGTCATGGCTATCTCTGATTTCAAGTGCACAACTGCGGCTACTTCTATGGGGCCAAAACAGATTGTGTAACTCCAGGGACGTCCAGGTGGTCATCGAGGTGACACGGAATGCATAGCAAATGCAATATATTCGGCTCATTGGTGAAGGCCGTCCATCAGCTGTTGGCCAGTGTCCTACGAGTAGGTTCATGCTGACTGGCAATGATGTCAAGGTTTTTGGCCGGCGACTCGGTGAAATTTTGAATTCAAGTGATGGGGCATACTCCAGCAACAATGCGCTGTTCACCTGAATAGCCAAGTCGGTTTTCAGTCCTCAGGCTTTGGTATTTTATTGCCAGAGAGCGGGCTGAATTACTGATTTCTCATCATTGCATCCCCTGCCGGCGATTCCGTGTTGTATGCCTTTTGCCTGTACTTTATCCGTCTGCTTACTCGTGCTGTAGCATGGAGCAGACGTCAGTTGCTCAGTGCATTAGCGAGGAACGTTATTCACATAGATAAAACAGTAGTATTAGCCTTATTCCTCGGAAAAACCAGGACAGTGGAGATACAGTTAGGCTGATGTTTCGGCAACACGCCTTTATCAAAACCATAGCAGAAGTGACTTCACTTCTTATACTACTGTCTCATCTATGGAGCAGACGTCTTTTACGTTTGATTCATTTTGCACCTGTGAGAATCTAAAACATCCTACCATGGTTCGCCGGCTGTGTGCTAATGTTTCGCCTCGCTTCGTCACCTTGATCCTACCATGGTTCGCCGGCTGTGTGCTGATGTTTCGTCTCGCTTCGCCGCCTTGCAATCTGCATTCGTTCCCCTCGCGTTATAGCCTCTCGTGACTCGGCCAGCCGCACAAAGTCATCGGCGATCCAATGTCAAATGTAAAGCCCTATCATTCTGTTTGTTCTCCGCTGATATGGCTATCGGTCGTTCAGATGCACCAATCGATAGCCCTCCGGTGTCGGCGGACGGCTCTCCAACCCGATCACATCTCAGCGCCAGCGGCTCCACACACCCCGCCGGGGGAGGACACTCCACGTGTCACGTGACTGTCCTGGCCGACGTGCCCGGCTGGCTGGCCCCTCACGACGGTTCGTAGACAAGGGCTAATTAAACATAATTAACAGGATGGATCAGACAGCTGCATTTGAGGTTATTTCCCGTTCAGGCAGTGTGGAGGAGAGGGACATGACACGTACACAAGTCTGCCGTGATGTTTGTCAAGATTTTGTGACCTTGGCGAGCAAATGCGAAGTGTTTGCGAACTCATGCAAACTCTTACTGCGTGCGGTGGCTTTATTTGTATGCATTTTCGTCAGTTTCTAAAACAATATCTACTGAGAAAATTGTGATCCTTTCGGTGGCAAAAATCGAGTTGTGGTGAGCTATTAGACGACAGCCAAGAAGCCTGCGAAGCATTTACCTCGATCTCCTCAAAGTGATATTGATGTTTTTTTGTTTGCTATCAGCGAAAGTTCGAAATCTGTGCTGAACCGGTCGGTGCGTTTTCGCAGTTCTCGCGGTCCGCTGCGATATTACGACTGGGAAACCTGTCTCATGTCTCCGTCTGCTAGTACATCACAACTTCCACACCAGCCCCCATGGCCCCGTCTGCAGCTGTACTACGACTTCACACCAGCGGCCACGCCCTCCGTTCGCCGCCACCGACCAGCCCGTGACCGGGTGGCCGCGGACGGGCCGATCGGCGTCCGTCCCGTGCCCGGTCCAAAACCGGGTGAGGGTGCCCCCGGCCAGGGGATGACACAGCCGCCGGCCGTCACCGCCCGCCCGCCCGGCCCTGGAAGACGGCGCCCCCGGCTAGGGGATGACACAGCCGCCGACCGTCACCGCCCGCCCGCCCGGCCCTGGAAGACGGCGCCCCCGGCTAGGGGATGACACAGCCGACGGCCGTCACCGCCCGCCCGCCCGGCCCTGGAAGACGGCGCCCCCGGCTAGGGGATGGATGACACAGCCGCCGGCCGTCACCGGCCGCCCGCCCGCCGGCTGCTATTTGTGGACGCTGTTTACCCGCGCCGAGCCGCTGCCGGGCTGATGACGCCACGCATCCGGCGTCCAGTCATCGCCACCGCCGGGCCTGCTGTTCGCCCTCTTCTCATAGGTGACTCTTGACACTGAATGCCCCCAAGCATCCGGTGCACGGTTGGCGGCCGTTCCAAATCCCCGCCCAGGTTACCCGCCGGCGACCACGCGCCAATCTCTGGCAGACCAGCCAGCACGCTTCATTGCAGTCCGCGGGCTTGAGGCCTCCTCCGCCGACTTCGACTGAGCACGAGCCGTACCCGCGCCCGGTCCAATGTCCGTCCGAGACGATCACACAGGAGCGCCACCATGGAGCAGGGCATGTTGAGATGCCGTGTCGGTGGCTGCAGGGGGGAACAGCAGCTGGTCTGAGCGCGGCGGGTGTGGGCTGCTGAGATGCCGTGTCAGTGGCTGCAGGAGAGTAACAGCAGCTGGTGTGAGCGCTGTGGGTGTGGGCTGCTAAGATGCCGTGTCAGTGGCTGCAGGAGAGTAACAGCAGCTGGTCTGAGCGCGGTGGGTGTGGACTGCTGAGATGCCGTGTCAGTGGCTGCAGGAGAGTAACAGCAGCTGGTCTGAGCGCGGCGGGTGTGGGCTGCTGAGATGCCGTGTCAGTGGCTGCAGGAGAGTAACAGCAGCTGGTGTGAGCGCGGCGGGTGTGGGCTGCTAAGATGCCGTGTTAGTGGCTGCAGGAGAGTAACAGCAGCTGGTCTGAGCGCGGTGGGTGTGGACTGCTGAGATGCCGTGTCAGTGGCTGCAGGAGAGTAACAGCAGCTGGTCTGAGCGCGGTGGGTGTGGGCTGCTGAGATGCCGTGTCAGTGGCTGCAGGGGAGTAGCAGCAACCGCTCTGCGCGCGGCGGGTGTGGACGGGCGGTTCTAGCGGCGGGTCTGGGCAGGAGGCTACGGGCGGACGGGTTTGGGCACGGTGGCTTTGGCGGCAGGTCTGGGTGGGCGGGTCCAGCGGCGGGTCTGGCAGCAGGCCCGGACGGATGCACCTGAACGCGGCAGGCCCGGACGGACCGCTCGGACGGGCGGTGGCCGTCGACGTCGCGTGCCCGCCGCCCGCTA